AGGCTTGGAAACGTTCTGGTCTGCCATCTAAACCAAGTCACAAAACGCAGTGAAAACTGTATGCAGTCGCTTTAGAAACTGTTGTAAAAATACAAGTCCGCTAATAGACAGGAGCAGCTTTGCTGGTTTCTGGGAAGTTTAGCCCCTGTTTCTTCCCCACAAGAGTTTTATACAAGTTCAGATGAGGGGTAGAGAAGCAATTAAGTGACTTTGAATAAAACAGCTGCTAAACATTTGCTCTGTATCATCATCACTTGCACAGCGCTGAGATTTGGCTCTGTAGCAGGTTTAAAAAAAAACAGACAAAAATTGAAAGGAAGCCTGGTATGAAGAAGCATTTAACTGTGTGCATGAAATCCTTAACACTTCCATGTTCAATTGCAACATCTGCACCTGTAGAGGTAACAGTTCATGTCATTTTTCTTAATGTGACTGTTTAAAAATTGTTTCCTTCAATCACACTACAGAACAGAAGAACACAAACTCAGGAAAGCTGTATTTCAGTAGCACAAGGGAATATTAACTAGTGCATGAGACCTGCAAACCAAAAAGCAGGAAAACAGATCCCATCATTATTTCCAGTATGTCAGACCCATCACACCCATTATCCTAAGTAACAGCAGCAGCAAGGCAGTCTGCACCTCCACGCAGGTGCCAGATTATAACAGCCTCATCTCTGCTGTACGTTTGTAACTTAGCCCAAAACCTCCATCAAGATGGACAGACCTTATAGGTCTATGCAGTTATGAAGGTACTGCAGACTCCAGAATGAAAATGGCAAAACCCAAGCCACATTAGAACTGGGGTGGTCTAAATATATGTTGTATTCACACAAAAATTATAACTACAACTAGTTACTTAGACAACTAAATCCTCCCTTTATTGTTTCATATTTAGTCTTCTATATATTATTACTAATAACATATAAATGGACTTCAAGCCACATGCTGTAAAACAAGTATTTCCTCCTGTACACCCGACATCCTCCTTGACCACAGGTCAGCCTGGCAGTTCTACGTCATGCCCTGACTGAGCTCTGTGCTGCATTCGGCTGCGATAGTTAGTTTCCATCGTAGTAGCCGGTATGGGGCTGGTTTGGATTTGTGCTGAAAAGAGCGCTGCTAACAGGGATGTTTTCGTTACTGCTGAGCAGTGCTTACACAGCATCAAGGCCTGTTCTGCCTCTCACCCCACCAGTGACAAGGAGCTGGGAGGGGACACAGCCGGGACAGCTGACCCCAACTGCCCAAAGGGATATTCCAGACCATATGACATCATGATCAGCATAAAAACTGGGGGAAGAAGGAACAAGGGGGGATGTTTGGAGTGATGGTGTATGTCCTCCCAAGTAACCATTACACGTGATGAAGCTCTGCTTTCCTGGGGATGGCTGAACATCTGCCTACCCATAGGGAGTGGTGAATGAATTCCTTGTTTTGCTTTACCTATTAAACTGTCTTTAACTCAACACATGAGTTTTCTCACTTTTTTCCGATTCTCTCCCCCATCCCAACATGGGCAGAGTGAGCAAGTGGCTGTGTCATGCTCAGCTGCCAGCTGGAGTTAATCCACAACAATTAAAATACTACTAGTAATGCACATGGCTATTCTGCTCTTTAATTAGATCTTAAGAGGTTTTTACCTCTTTTCTTAAACAACAATGTCCTAAATTTTTCTGGTTTTCAGCAAATAAATGAAGCCAGCCTTGCAGCACATGCACTTCTGCTGGCTGCAAGGAGTGTCTGGCACAGAACCGTGATACTTCCCTGGGATGCCTTTTGGATCATTGCTATGACTACCTGCTAACATTAAATTCTGAATATTTAAATTGTGAATGTACCATATATCCCAAAGACCTTTTTGAACATGAATTCTCACTGATGTTTCATGAAATTACTACTATAATTATTTCTGAAATTTTCACAATGACTAGAAAGATGGTTGTCTGTAGTTTAAAATGCTCTTTTAGAATAGTACTGTAAAAGAAACTAAAAAATAAAAGGTATTCTTCTTAAGACAGAATCTTCAATATGTCAATTCTATAGTCAGAGGGCTAGAGTTGGTTTTCCTCTCTATTTTGTGGTCTGACAACAGAGGTCATATAGTGCACCCTCTGTTGAAAAGAAATATAATTCTCTTCCACTTAATTTCTTCACTAACAAATGAATACAGATTTTTTTTTTCTTAACTTTTTTCACTTGCATCCAACTCAGTCTTTATGTAGTCAGTCTTTATGTAGTATGACAAATTTTAATATAATTGTACCTATTGCCTATTTCTCTACTTAAAATAAAAGAGATAAGAACCACAGAGATTTAACCTATTTATAACCCACTCTCATGCCATATTTTATGCAACCAAACTAAAGGGATTAGAGAAACAAACTTTCCCCCCAAGTAATCACACAGAAGCTGTTTAAGAATAGTTTGTTATTATATAAATGCAGTTTAAATGACATTCTAGAAAAATCCTTGGAGCACTTCTTATAGGCATTGCCTAATAGCAAAAGTGACTATGACATGCGCTGCTAAACTAAATAAAAAAATGTATTATCTAAAAGTCAGCACCAATAGTCATGAGTATTAGAGCAATTCTTTTCCAAAAGATTTGGTTTTGACAGATATTTCTACCATAAACTTCAGAAGAAGAAGAAAAAGCCTTCCTCAAACTATGTAAACCCTTATTCTGTATTAAAAGTCTGGCAACACTGTTTATTTGAAGTGAAAGATACTTTTAGGAATGTGGATTTTATTATTCCACACAATGTCTCAAATCACTTTCATTATGGATCTCTGTGGATATGTCTGAAACTGCAACAGCAATGTTTGCTGTCACACCACTGGAAAAAAATTAATAATAATAGTAAAAAAAAAATCCACTAAAATGCCTGCCAATTCTCTTGCTGTGTGTTTGCAGCTGACTAGCTAACTCAAGATATAATCCTGTGGCCATTTCAGAATCAAAGGGCATTCAGAACAAAGTAGTTGATGAAAAATCACTGGTGCACCTACTGGGTTCTGAGCTGCAATTCCACAAGGCATCGTTTCCATTGAAGATGTTGAACTACATTTCACCCATCTCAAGGAAGATAAGGTTGTTTTCTAAAGGTTTACTGTGTCTGCCTTAGCTTGTAATCACTTAATTTGGTTTTGCAAGTGGTGGAGAAATATAGAAAAATCAAGAGTTTTCATGTAAGGCATTAGATTTTGTTAATTCATATTAATAGCAAGAGACTGTTCAAAGGACTAATTTTTGCAGCAATGAATAAAAAAATTAGCAAGATATTCATTTTTTACACAAAAGTATTACTGCTGGTTACATATTAGTTATGTACATATTGTATATAAACACATACATGTACAAATCTTAATGTTGTCCAGAAACACTGCCGTAAAGTCAGCCTTGAAGGATCCCTCTACACTGGGCATGTGATCCTGTTCTTAACAGTCATGTACACCGTAATGAGAAATGTAGGGATGCAAGACACAGAGGTTTTGCACTGGAGTTGAAATCTGAAAGAACTGGTCAGCAGAATATATGCTGGTTTTAGATTAGAGCACTGTATTTCTGTAAATACAGTATGTTTAATCTTTAGGGGCACAAATCCACCCTGATGATGCTACCAACTTCTGTCTCCATCCAGATGGAAACAAGGATGAGAGCTAATTTTATTTCTGTTCAATTACAAAATTACTTATTAGCATTATTAATTCCACTACTCACCTTAAAATTAACCCCAAATCACCCACTTTACAAATACTTGGCTGAAGTGGAGCATTACCATGTTTACTCTGCAATTAGAGCACCCAACATGGGGAATAAATGCTGACCAGCCAGTGGAGTCTAAAGTCAGACTTATTTTATTAACGTAAGTGCAAACTGACATGTTATTTGAAAGCCATGGGAGGTAGTTAAAGCAACTACATTATCAATGAATCGGATGTTAAAATACCAGAAGATGAAGTTTAGTTGATAACAATTCAGTCTTCCTAAAATTATAAAAAATAGTGTAAATAATTTAAAATTAAAAACTAGAGTTTTTATGAATGTCTGTTGAGATTTAAGGTAGTCTCTATTTATGCCAAATACCTAAGAGATTATAGAAATAAAGGAATAGAGACTTCAGCCCTATGACTTTATTGATTAAAAATATCTTCACAATGCCTCTATCAGCCTAGATTAGATACATTGTAATGTTTAATTGAGTAGTTTTAGCAAATAACTTCTGGTTTGACTCAGAATAATCTGTTTTCCTTAGAAATTATTTCCATACCTTCGAATTTAAACTGAATAAACATATGGAAAAAATATTTCACATAATCAAAAATGGAAGCAGCATAACAAGAGTTGATCTTGTCATATGTGCATCTGCTGTATGTAAACCACTCCTCCGCTCAGAAAACATCAAACTTGTTGCGTCCTGATTAGTTTCTTAATGTACAAGGTCAGCAAAAAAGCTGTTCCAAGTTAGTTAATGAAAAGTGTCTTCTGTTCGCTGCAGACCATATCTCCGAGCCTCAGCTACATTTCAAGTATTCACACGAAAAAGTGTGGTATTAAAGAGGAAAAATCCACATTACAGTTGTAATTTATGGATTTTTTTTTTTTTTAAATCATAGACTAAATCAAATTAGAATACAGTTTACATGAGTATATCTATCAAATTTCCCTTCCTCTAAAATGCAATGTCTCCAGTTTGGATTGTCTGCCTACTAAGTATCTAAATCGATGCCGTTTTCATTTATTTGACAGGGTAAGACCAGCTGACACCACTAACTTCTGTTTTATTCCCACTACTTGACGGTCAACAACTCCGGGTGGCTTGGTTCTTGCTTGACTTTTTAAATTTTTATGGCTGGCTAGAACCCTGAAGATGCAGGTTTACAATGGGAAGATAACCCAGACAAATTATAGTTAGATGAGACAAAGCATAATTTCATGTTTAATTAATTCAACTAAAAAATTTGGCACGGTTCAACCATTATTCCACAGTCACTTACTTCAAAGTATCCTCCAGTTTGCGAATCTTCTTTTGAGCATCCACTCTCTCCTTTTTAAGGTCAATCCGGATGTCATGAATCTACCATTTGAAGGAAAAAAATACCATATTTTAGCTAAAACAAAGCCTGATTTAAAAAGCTGTTTTAAATTATAAAAACTATTTATTTTGCAGATTTCTTTTGCACTGATGTAAACAACCACCTATATATTTCTAAAGTTTCACACAATGCAAGAATAAGGATTATCAAGGAGGTGAAGTATGAGAATATAACCAAAGTTACTGTTCTTCTCAAAATGAATATTATTCTCTAGAATCAAGAAGTATCAGTAATTACATTAAAAGAAACTATTCTTTAGATAAATACAGGAAAGCATATAGAAATCTGCCTAAAACAATCCCATGTACCCTCTATGGTGCAGAGTTCCAACTTAGCAATTTGAGGATTCCCAAAGTGAACTGCTTTTTATCAATTCTTACAACAGTAAAACCACCAGCACGATGACAGTAAATAACATTACTTTAGAATAATGCAAACATTAACTACCTGAGAGTAGATAGTCCTAAGAAAAGTAAAGCCTTTCCTCAAAGTGATTTACTACTAATGAACTCCTGCCCCCGTGAAATCACAGCAGAGTGCTTGAATGATCATATAAAACTCCTCATCTTTCCATTTTGCATCCAGCCACTAAAAGTGCCATGTGGACACGGAGGGGTATGGCACTCCTGTACAAGTGTGCATCGAACCCCACACCACTCTCCAGACCAACGGGCAGTCTCTCAGAGTAAAGAAGATATTGCCAAACCTAGTAAAACACACATATTCAACAGCTGGCCCAAGAGTGGCTCTCCGGAATAATCTCTCCCTGTTCTTAGGCTGAATGTTTGGAAAACAAGCAGTAGATTATTTATAAAAAGCAGGTGTTTCCTCTGCTTGTAAAACCATCTAGCCTAACTGGTTCCTGATTCGGCAGATAAGCACATTTAATCAAACAGTGACATTTAGGGTTACTACCTATTATTTGTTTGATGTTTAAAGATCCTAGCAGGCAATGGCCACCGTAGACTAATGAAGATTATTAGATAATGGGTAGGTTCTTAAGTGAACAGATTGCACCAGAGACTTCATGAATCCTTTACTTGAAAGCAGGCTTGTTCTAGTGTTTTATGGGCCAATCTATGCTATTTCATGGATTTATATTCATGGATTGGTTACATGTATTTTTTCTCCTCCTTTCTCAAAGATTGGATTTTGAAAACACAATTACATCAAACTTTATGGACAGGCAAATGGCTGTAAAGTTATCTAGTAAAAATAACGGGTCTAATTTCTTGTTTACTGATAGTTACAACTTCAATATCTGTGCTTACTGGTGTAGAGTGAGTGCTGATGTGCTCTTAGCCTGTGCTAAGTAGCGTTCTCCCAAATGATCCTAGACCTCATTCAAGATCCCCACAGGACAGGCACCACTGCAGAAAGGTAATACGGATGCAATCCACTTTACACTATTGAACTGTATGATTCTGGACAGTAGAGTGAGCCATTTGATGGCATTTGGACTTGGTGACTGGCAACACTACCAGCCACATGTAGTCTGTACTTAGCTGCAGAGAGAGTGATGCATTGCAATAAACCAGTGTCCACTATACTTCCATAGCTAGAAGATACCCAAACTATGCTAATAAATTTTTGTTTTGACCTGCATTATTATTCAAATCCTAGGCTTTTCTTGAGGTCAACATTCATAAAAACCCTGACAACTAAAACAACAAATGTAGGCTAGAATTAGACCAAAACATACCTTAGAATGAAAAAGTATTTGACTTAAAGTCAGCAGAAGGCACTAACACAAACCAAAAACTCATTCATGCTGTAAATGCTATTACCAAGTGACAAGTAGCTATGATCACAATTCATTATTTTATGTTTTATGTTTGACACGTTTGGAAATGACACGTTTGAATAACACATCCTTTCAATTAAATAGGCATATACCGCACTCTTGCTAAACACTGCAGGAGTTGAACATAACCACTAAAACTGAAGTTGAATTTGAAACCTCTTGATGTTTAAAGTTTAAAAGAGTAGACAGTGCTTTAAGATGAAGTGGTTTTGATGAAAATTACGTTTTATAATTTAAGCTTCTGATGTAAAAACAATGCAAGCTGACAATATATAGAGAACACATTCAAATCTTGGAGAAGTAGGGAATAAAGATGTAATGGGAAAAAGGAGGTATGTAAGAACATATGAAGACTGACAACAGGTCAGGCTAAGTTCGACTAAGTTCATTATCCTTTCTCTTACAGCAGCTAACATCAGATGCCAACAAAAGAGGCGCATACAAAGGGGACAGGCCCACAGTGGTACTTTTTTGGTCATGCCCTCCCAGCCTGCATCATTTGGCAACAGGTTCCTAGAATCAGAGGTGGTATCTCTGTACTTAAATAGCTCTACTTTAAATCTTCCTTGACTTCGTCCAACTGTTTTCCAACCCACCCGAAATGCCAAAATGTACTTGTTTGGGATTTCAGAATTTAAACCTTCAGCTTCTGCATGAATCAGAACTGGAAATGTGCATAAGGTGGTATGTTTTCCTAAAAACATCACCTGCTTTTCATGTGCACGCTCCGAGTGAAGTTTGTCCTGTTGAAGCTTGTATTCTTGATCCTGCAAAGAGATGCATATTCTAAAGAAACAAATCACATTCTTTCATTTCAAAGCAATCATGAAACACACATACATTTGCTATTACAAAGAACAGTCCATAAAAGTTAAAAATCCATTTTATATCATCAGTAAAAAATTCTTTGACATACATAAAAACTGAACCAACAGCAAAAACATCCACACGTAACTAAACTATCTCTAAAGTCATGATTCATGTTTATAAAGAGAAACAGCAACTTGTTCTCCTGAGCTATTAAAATGCCATTCTGTACTGCATCAACTGAAATGAAAGACATAGGAGGAATAGTACATGCCAAAACTCAAACAGGATTGATACGTGATACAGATGTGGAACTCATTATCCTGAGATAGAAGGATTAAAATTTAAATGCCTATAGCAAGATGGAATATTGAACCCAACCGTTAAATAGCAACAAAAATAATAACAAGCTTGAAAAGTACCTAAACAGTGTTTACAGTTTAGTAAAAGAAATATTCATCATTCGTTGACATTGTTCTCTACAATCCACTGCTACACAGTTACACTGCTTTAACGGGAGAACGACAGCAGTCAAAGAGTTCCTGTGAAAATTCTGCTCTTCCCCACAAAGTGATCTCTTTTAGTCAGCCTTTTTAAAGATCAACCTTTAAGCATAAGGTGACACTATGAATATCCTTCACAGAAATACATGAAGATGTACGTTATACAGAAGTGCATTTTAGCTTGGTTATCTAAACACAAATCACGGGGAAAGGCTGGTCATTCTTGAGTAAGAAATTCAGGGCTCACCCTCAGCTGTTGCTGCCTTTGATCTTCTGAATCTTGTAACTGTTGTTTTAAGAGAGACACACTATGCTGTAATTCCTCAATCACGCCCGATGCCTGTAGGGATTTAACAGAAACAGGAATTTGTGTTGCATTCCTCATTAGTCCTGCAGATACATCTTTTGCGGTTTTTAAATTATTCCCCAGAGGTGCCTGAAAATTGGAAAAAATTGTCAACTTGGGAAAAAAGTATTACAACTTACAACTCCAGATACATCACTTCTGTCCTTCTGATCAACTTAGAAATGCAAACAAAACCACAGAAAATGGCTAATAATAAAAAGATCCCTGGCACTTACAAGTGAAAAAAAAACCCACCTTGTAAATAAAATGGAGTAAAGTATCATCAGAGCTCCCAGAATTCCAGTAAATAAATGTAAAATACCCCATTTGTCATATGGCTCTAAGGATTAGCAGATGGTATTTAAAACATGAGCCTTTTCTACCATTACTTACCTTGAAACGTTATTAGATATATACTTCATACTGTAGGTAGGAATTGGTAGGGATCAACCTGATAGATGTTTTTACAGAAACGAACTGGAATTATTACATTTTGGGTGAAATGTATGCTTACAGAATTTAAAAATAATTTCTTAAACAAGTATTTAACATAATGTCCCATTTTAAGAGGCCTGCAAGACAGTTTATTTCTGGAAAAAATATTTTCCTCTCACTGAAGAAGCCTTATAAAAACATTAAATCTTTACAGGCACTGAAGACTTCTGGTATCCAGAATTTTGATAGAAGCACAAACAAAATCAGCATATGAATTGTACCGTATCGGAACCAGACATGGAAATACCCCCTGTATGTACACATACACACCACACCAGTCAACTTCAGACGATTTTTCAGTCAAATGTGGGAATGAAAAAATAAATAATATATTTTTTTCGTGTTTAAATCACTTTTTAAAAAACTTACACACATTAATAACTTGGGGACTGAACAGTTCCTTGGATTTATTTACAAGCATTACATTTATATTGAGCAGACCACTTATAATAGGCATTAAAGCATTGTTTATTTTTTATGAGGTAGCATACCTTAGCTGCAGAGAGAGCATGTTCCTGATTTATAATATCATATTTACTTTGTAGTTGCTGAATGTTCTGCTCATGTTCCTGTATAATATGGTTCTTGTCTTTCTGAAGCGAGCTGTGCCTACAAGCAGTAAGCAAAGAGAACATGGAAATTGCTTTCATATTTTGGCATCTTACCTGCTCAGTATCAATTGTACAGAGGATGCAAGTCTGCCTGTACCACGTGCTCACTCTAACAGAATGAAATGCTTACAAACAACGGAAGGAGAACATACTCCTTACAATGGTCACTTGGGTCAGTTCCAAAATTAATTTTACATCCATTAATACATTTTTGTGACAGTTTTCTAATGCAAATTAACATTCACTGAGTTCTTGAAATAAACTGAATAATGCTTGCTTTCAGAAGTTCCATATTTTTCAATGCTAAAACCAGAACCCGTTATTTAATTACCTTGCTTTCACCTCCTGGAGTTCAGACCATAGCTTCTGGTAACGTTGTTCTGCACCACTCTTCTCTTGTAATAATTTTTGACGTTGTAAATAACTATTTTCAACCTCAACAGTCAACTGCTGGACACGAGCCTCCAGTTTTTTGACCGTTTGGTTCTAAAAGAATAGGTCATTGTTGAGAAAACACCAGAATAAATTAGGGTATGCCCCTGTTGTTATTCAGTAGCCTAGAGCAACAGGGTTCTTTGGTGGTCCAGAGACACCAGAGCTAAACAGCAAAGCTGTCATCAATCATAACAGTAAATTCTACGTTGTATATAAAAAATGAAATAAATCTTCAAATACCGATGTCTGTTCCCCCTCCCCCGCAAAGTAACATGTCTTCTCCCCTAAGCAAAGCAATATGCACAACGGAGTTCTAAACTACAAGTCTTTCGAAACAGGAGAGACAACAGATATTCCTATGAAAAACTTTAATGAATGAGAACGCACACAAAGCCTTTTTAGACTTTCTGTTAAAAAAGAAAGTGTCTTATCACTTCCAATATGTACAACCTGCATGTGGGAAGGACCATCTGAGGGGAAAAACTGTATTTATAAAAGGATTTTCTTGATCATTATGGTGATGAGCAGCTATAAGAGTCATCTACAAAACATATTAAACTGTATAGCATCCAGGGAAAGCTGTAGCTCTTTCATGCTAAAGTATTATTCTGAGTACTTTCACAGACATAAATATGTATCAAATTGCTAAACTGAAACAAGCAGTGCACTTAGGCTGCTGAAGAATTATAGATTTTAACCAACTGCCTTTTAAGGCCACACTTTGGCAAAACCACATCCAAGGATGTAAACTAGACACAGTAATATCTGCTACGGATTTGGAGGATAGAAGAATGTCCTCATACAAACGCTACATCAACAGCACGAATGCTACCTAGTTGTGGTTCAGAACAATTAGCAATTATCAACTAAATAATTCACCAATGGTCTTGTAAGGTAAATATATCATCTCCACTTTATTACTGGCAAACAGAGGCGCTCAGAGGATAGCGTCGTGCAGAGGACTACAGCAAATCCATAGCGGGACTGAGAGCGCATTCCGCAAGGCTCTGTGGTCTACCTTTCCCTAATCCACTTCTCCACATCATTTGCTTAATTACAGTGATTTTCTTTCAATAAATTACAAGTCTATCCAAAGTTGTACCTTTTTTCCAGAACTTCATCTCCTAATACAAACAATTTTTAAAAAGAGCAGAATGAGAACAGAATGAGACTGCTCTAATGCTTCCTATTCTTCCCTAAATGTACGTTAATGTGCACGGAAATGAGAGAACAACCCCTCGGGAGGCTAGAAGCAAAAACTAAGACATAGCTGTCCTTCCAGGATGTACATATCTTAATTATTTTTATAGTCACAAAAGGTCTGAAAATGAGGGAAGCGTAACAGTTTTCACCCTCTGTTAGAGTAAAATAAAACCCCAAACATCTGCCCTCTCAAGTCAAGTGCCCCAGCTGCCACAGGATTGTTAAATGAGCTGGAAGCTCACACAGCCAGGATGGTCACCTCAACTTTGGCAACTGGCTTCAGAGATCTCATGAATGTAGTACAGCAAACTGTGCAGAACAGGGGTTTTTTGGTTTGATTTGTTTGTTTATTGAAGATTTTGGGTGTTTTGTCTGGGGCGGGGGTGTTCTTGTTGGTTTTATTAAAAACAAAAGTCATACCCAAAATATTATAATTCCCCCTAGCTCCCCAGCCCTCAAGGAAGTGAATACCATGCTTAGGGGTTCTGTGGTATTAGTTACATTGTTCAGCTAATTTCACTTGCTAACAGCAATGGCATTCTTGACAACGTGAACCTCTGAGCAAGGAAACTCTGAAATACCACCAAAGAAAAAAAAAAAAACCACACAAAAATCAGGAGAGAGAAAGAAAGAGAGAGAAAAAAAGAAAACTAATTTCCAGTGACAGTCTAGTCTTTCATCTTAAGCCCTGCCTTGAACCCTACCTTGTTTAATTATTAAATCAGAAGCTGCTCAGCAAGATCTGTCTGGTGTTGATGGTTCTTAAATTCAATCTTGCTGACAGACTGTGTCCATTTTTCCTCTGTATTTACTGTTACCTATGACATGAGCTGAATGCTAATTTTTATATTCAACATTCACTAATAAAGGAATAAATTTTGTCTGACATTGTCTTTTCACTCATTCAATTTTCTTCATACCTCATCCTGATAAAAAAATACAGGATGCTTTCTTGAGGGTAACGTTAATTTTTTGCTTTTTACATCATTTATGTAGCAGACAAAATACAGATTACACCTGCTTACATGTCTTATTATTCTAGGAAAGAAATGCAATAAATTAAAATACAGTAATTATTTTTAAAATCCCTCTTTTTTTTTTGACCTTTAATCTAACAGAAGCATTTGATCATTCAACAGGGAGGTGGGTAAGAAAGTCACATATAACTATGAAAATAGATGTACCATATAAAACCTTTTTCATAGTCTATAAACCTACAGCGGCAAAACTTCTGCTAACTTGAATTAAAAACAGTAAAAAAAGCTAGAAACAGTCCTTCAATACAAATACTATCTGTGCAATATTCCTTGAAGAGCTGTACTTGGATGAATTTTATCCAGGGGTGGAAATCCTTGGCTGGACTGGCAGCCAGACCACTGACTGCTCTCTCCCAGGAGAGCACAACTGCACTGCACTACCAATAATATTTCTCAGCTCAACAGTACTCTCATACATTTTTGCACAAACACATGGAATTTGAACACTGCAAGAGATGCTTGCCATTGTGACATCTTTACAAAAAAAACTTACAGTTGACTTTATCTGTTCCAAATAATCTTCCTCCATTTTGCTAAGATGAGCACTGGTGTCCTCCAGCAGTTTCTGCATCTTTTCTCTGTGCTCCTGCCAAATATTACATTTCTCCTTCTCCATCTCAGCCACAGCATTGTGAAGCTGTATCACAAAAACATTAGCAAATAATAAACGCCAGTTTTATATGCCATTTAAAAGTATTATTATAGTATACAAACAGAATAAGGAACAAGGACAGGCCACATTTCTGTCCTCTATAAATACCTAGATCACCAACTCACTAAACAGCTCGACTATGACTCTATAAAGCAGTAAGATAGAAGTCACTTAAAAATGTATAGAGGCATAACTTCAGAAGAATACTGGAATACAGAATACTAAAACACATACATATTTTTGCCATTCTCTGCTATTCTATTTGTTTACATATTTAAAGTGAACACCACTGACTTTTGCACAAATTTCTACTACAGAAACACTAATACTCTTTCCAGATACTCACACTCCCAGTCTATGCCTCTCAGCTGGTAAGATGGAGAGCCTTGACTATCTACTTGTCTAACAAAAGGATTATTTGTGTCATTACTAACCCTTGATTTATATTCTAAACACCACTGGCCTCCCTTTCGAGTTAAGCAGTCTCAAAGCTAAATTAGTAAGAATAGTGTCATGTCAAATTAGCATACAAAGCTTTGCGTGGTGTATTGTTTGTATAACAGCTATTATGTGTTTCTCCCGTTTCTACCAAATCCATTTCACGGCTGAAGGAGAAAGCTGCAATATACAACCTAAAAGCAGCATTCTAAACACACTGCTAAAATCAGGTTAATTTGCACAAGTATAGATTTCTTCCTCTCCAAGATAGAGGCTAGCAAAATCATGGAGGTGTCTGTCAATCTGAACCATTATTGAACAGACTTCAACAGTGTGCACTGACTTAACACAACATTTTTCATCCAAAAGATAAGGCTGTTAACAAACTATTCTCATAACTATCCTTCTGTATACTGTGGTGTTGAGGAAATTTGCTGAATTTGAGATCCTTTTAAAAATCATTTGGGAAAATAAGTAATCTCCAGGTGCATAACATATTAATAAATTCAAAAAGTCTGGGAATGTCTCTACCTCCTGTACAACAAACTACAGTAATACTTGTATTATTGGCAGCAAGATCTAACCAAAGGAATAAATAGACAGAAGTAGTAGTATATGAAGTTATGAACATACTGCACTCAACTTTTCCCATATTTCCATCATGCTTCCCGCTATCCACGTTTTTCCATAAGATACATGCTCCGATTTCACTTCTATAATTTCACTGAGTTAATACTAGCATTTTAATTTGCCTACTTGCTTGCACACTGGCACCACTGATGGCAGTTACAGCTGTAGGAACAGCACTTGCTAGGAAACTGCCAAAATGGGGGTGACCTCAGGCTGAAAATAAAGTTTCTCTAAAACAAAACAAAAAGCCACCCAACACTGAAGCCCCAACATCCTACACACAATGGACAAGATTTATGATAGATCTCTTACAAGACAAAAATTCAAACCAATGTGACTTCCAGATGCAGGGCTGTGAAAAAATGAAGTTAAACAGCATACATCATCTAGACAGGGAGGTGGGTTTGCCTTTTACACGACCCTCCTGAGAGGGGTAAGCAAGGCAAATGCTGACAATCCACACAAAGGTGGAGCTGTCCTGCAATAAACATGCTTTTCTCTCTGCTTTGCTGCTGTCTTGAGTCTGACAACAAATAAAAACGCATCAAGAAATTCATGACCCTTCGCTAAAACAGCAGTTCAAAGGAATCGCCGTGGCAGCAGGTAGCAGCAGGTTTACCAAGATTAAAATTCCATGTCAGGTCAAGCAGAAGTAAACACTTCCCTAACACATCCAGAGGCTGGCAAGAGGGCCAGATGAGCCCCAGGAGCAGTGACCAGCGGGCGTGGGTGCGGAAGCAGCAGCACCCACAAGAGTCTTGCAAGAATACTCCAGAAAAATTCAAAGTCAGCATAAGAAAACAGGACCGCAAGTAACACATTCCAAGTACTGTTTTATGAGTGACAACATGTATTATCCCAGGCATACACTGCAGGAAGCTTTCAAAGAAAGCAAGTACTAGGCATTACCCTTTTCTCCCACTCGTTGTTCAGAGAATCATTGCTTTGCTCACACATCCTCTTCAACTCCGCAATCTGCTTCTCTTTCACTTCTCTCACCACTTGTGACTCCCGAACAAGGGTCTCAACTGTCAAAAAATGGGAACATAGACAAGCATTCAAGAGATACCGTGGGGATTTCTCAGTCTTAGCGACAGATGCAACCAGAATACACCAGTTTTCCAACTGACCTGGCTTTCTGATGGTTTTTGGCATTTAAAAATACTTAATGCATGATTTCTTTAAAATTTAGCACTTGGATTCTGAGTCTCTAAAAGGTGTTTTCTCTCCTCTATTTACAAAATATTTCCTAGTGATTTTTCCTTACTGAAGCAGTAAATATACATCAAAATTCTGTAACCTAAAGAAGTCAGGTTAAAAATGACTGTTTTCATGTGCATCCTTAGGAGAAAAAGTTCTTGTATCTCTTGGGCATTCAACCTGCACAAGGATATTAAGTTGCGAGCAACTGCATCAAGAATTCAGTCTGACATATTTTGTGGAAAAGAAAGCAGGTACATATTCACTTTTTAAAAGTGACTGATGATCACTACCCACCCAGAGTGTTGGTGACCTGAACACAAAACGTTACAGCTGGGCACAGCCACCACCAGCAGCACCAGATCCCTTGCTGGTCAATTTACTCGGCCAAGGAGCAGGAAACACTATACATGGAATTCTCCCGCTTTTTGTACATAGCTTACCAAATTTGTGTATTATTTTACATTGTGGTTTAGTCCATAGTGTAAATGGACTCCAAGGAATTATTAAAAAAAACCCTACCATTCAAAAAACTGCTGACAAGCCACACTCAGGCCAAGTTTTGTACTTGTGACATATTCAAGACTACTACTCATGTTTGAAATGTCTTGCTGCAAGAGTCCTAAATAAATAATACATTGTTGTTTGTTTAAAATTTACTGAATGTATAAACAAATTAACTGGGGGCCAGAGATTCCAAAAAGTTTGAAATAAGTGGTCAAAATATTTTTGTATCAAAAGAAACTTCTTTTTGGTGACACTTCTAAAACTTGTAAGTATTAAATATAACAAGATGATACTGTCTCTTGGAAAATTTGGTTTGGAAATTGGACAACAAAGACAACTGCACAAGCCTCAGAATCTGAAGGAAAAAATTAGGTCAAGACCTGCAAATGAAGAGGAAAGAGACATCTGCACCTAAAAGTAAGCCCAGAGCCACAAGAAGGATGTGACACAATACCACCACGCAGAAAACAACCAGCCTTAAAAAAAAAAAAAAAATCACCTTTTTTCTCCAGTTTTCTAATTGTATCCTCAGCTTCATTTTGTTTGGTTTTGTAGAAGGACTTCAATACCTCTATTTCATCATTCTTTCTGTCCAAAATCTGTAGGGA